CTTGTGTTTACACACCGGCATCAAGAAGAGGCTCGCTTGATTTTCTTTACCTATCCCTAGCACTTGGCACAGTGGTTTGTATTCAATAAGAGCTTATTTTTTTTTTTAATGCATTGAATCATTCACCTAAGTCGCCTTATCAATGATAGGTAGTACACATTTAAAACCCAAGGCAGTTGGCTTCCCTTAGGTTGGGTTGTTCCTGGTGAATACATTTCCTTACCCATCCCTGGGCAGGCTCAGAGGCAGCAAAAGTTTATCCCATGAGATATTGTGGCACCTGCTCTCCACAGTCCTCCATGAGTTTTTTTTTTTCTTCACTGCTGAATTACAGAATAAATAGAAACTTTTAAACCTGTGCATTGGCAGGTTTGGAATTTTTTTCAAAGCACTTTTATTTCTGTCTGGAGATTATATCACCTGAGCTCTACTCCCCTTTTTATGACTTTGGCACATACATCTCTCTGGTGAGTAATGGAACATGGGGAGGAAGGGAAGAGAGATTCAGTTTTCTACAAAGATCTTTGGTTTAAATAATTTTTAAGTAAACACATAGACAGAGTTCAGGGTAGATGGCATAAAACACATGGAGAGAAAGGGCACAGCTACTGAAGAAGCCACCACCAAGACTGGATATTTGCACCAGACTAGGTGGAAGCAGGGGGAGCTAGATAGCACAGTGAACAGACTGCAGGGCCTGGAGTCAGGAAGACTCATCTTCCTGAGGTCAAATCTGGCCTTAGACTCTTACTAGCTCCATGAGCCTGGGCAAGTCACTTAACCCTATTTGCCTCATTTCCTCATTTGTAAAATGAGCTGGAGAAGGAAATGGCAAACCTATCTAATATCTTTGCCGAGAAAACCCATGAAGAATCAAACATGGCTGAAAATGACTGAAGAACAACAAAAAGGTGGAAGCTCATCTCGGATGCAGTGACCAGGCTGAGGAAATGCCTAGGTCTTGCTCTTTTAATTAATTTTTCTTGCTAACTGGATGCTAAACTTAATTATTTCTATGTTGCTGAAAGACTAGACATAATGTTAGTGCCCCCTAAATATTGGTGCCCTGGAGCAAAACCCTACCTTAGTTATGGCTCTACACAAAGGAGTCTAAGGTAAACATTTGTTAGACCCTTGAATGGAGTTCTAAATAGTCAGACTGGGCCTGACAACACACAAGTTGTTATCATAGTCAACATTTACTGTTACTTTCTATGTATGTAGGTCACTGCGATAAGTCCCTTAGAGGACACAAAAGGAAGTAAAAGAAATTGTCCTGTCCTCCTGAAGTTCACAATACAATTGGGAAGATAAGAGATAAGTATGCAGAAAAAAATGAAAAGTCATTCTATGTGTCCAATGAATAGGGCAAACAATAAGTATTGAAGAAGTGCTTCTGTTTGGGGTGGTAAGAAAGCTGGGGTCTTCTTACTTGGGGCTAGAAGAACTGATCATCATGAAAGGACAAACTGAGACCCCTTTCCAAATAACTTAAGCGAACAATACATTTGTGCCTCATTGATCTGACTATTTCAAGCTTTATGCATTTTTTAAAATAACAAAATAATAGCATCCTAGAATGAGAGAGCTGGATGTTTTAAAAATCAACTTGCCTCTTCACATTCAGCCATATCACTGTGTATGGGAAGAAATGGCAAAATGTGAGGTTTCTGGTCTTGGAAAGGGGAAAGCCATAAGGGCTACTGACTAATCCAAGACAAGTAATGTTTAAGGCATGACTAGAAACACGAAATGACTCACTTATCACAAGAATGTAAGTCTTCCTAAAAGAGAAAATTGAAGACCTACCTACCTCAGGTTACTGAAAATCACATAAAGTCCTTCAGTAAAAGAAAAGCATTATCATGGAAAAGAAAGAACAGAGGCCTGGAAATCAGTTCATATCCAGCCATTAACTTTGTGGTTTTGGACTAGATTGTTTTTAAGATTCATTTCTGCTTCAAAAAATTCCTCATATGCAGTAGAAATAAAGTTTTTTGTGAAAGAGTGAACAATAAATTGATAGACAGTGATTCATATGGAAGAGATTTCAATTCTCCCTAGAACTGAATTTTAACATCAAATAATGTTAAAATCACTAAGAAAAAGTAAAAGTCTCCCGATTTTGCAGAAAGGTTAAAGTGTGAACTAGATAAAGAATTAGATTTAGAGAATTTACTTTGTCCCCAGAATAGAAAAAACAAAAACAAAAATAAAAAAAACTAATAAATACAAATTTATAATGAAAATTAGGAGAAATTTAACCATACTCAACTGGATTTGCTAACTTTTAGAACTCTGGCCCCCACAGATAAAATCTCTGTTATTCAGACTGGCCCTCTGATAGGTAAGTACTTTCAAACTGCTCTCAAATGTTTGCTTTATCTTTAATATCCTCTCAAAATCACGTAGACAAACAATATAGAAAGGAAAAAACACCTAAAATTAAAGTGGAAAATAAGAGCCAGTTAGGACAGTGTTTGCCTATAAACTTTTTTGAACCCAGAGTGGAAAAACAGGGAATAGGATGGATTTAGACCCCACTTGCAGCAACAACTTGTAGGCTTCTTTCCCTACAAAAATTTTAACTTGTTTCTTCCTAGGCCCCAGTTTCCTCACATCAATAAATTCAATACATCATTTACTAAATATCTACCTTGCTAATTGCTAGGGAAAATACAAATGTCAGATAAAATATGGTCCCTACCCTCAAAGAGCATATAGCCAATTAGGGATACATGACACTTGTATAGATAGCTACGATGTACAATATTATATGCCAAATACAATATACAGCTGAAAAAGCAAAGGTTGAAGGTCATATCTGTGTGGGTGGTGAAAACATACAGGATATGTCGACAGAATGAAGCCTTGAAAGGGGCTAATGAGAGGCACATGGAGTTATACTGGGGTGGTGGCAGCAGGAATAGAGAGGAAGGCATGGCTTTAAGAGATGCTGAAGTGATGGAATCAAAAAGACCTGGTAACTGATCAGATATAATAGGTGAGGATGTGAGAAGAGTCAAAGAAAAACTCAAGGTCAAGAATATGTGAGACTGGGTAAATGGTGAAATCAAAACGGGGAACAGGTTTAGAGGGAAATATAAAGAGCTCAGTTTTGACCTGCTGACTTTGAAATGCTAGTAGGATATCAAGGTGGAGATGTCCTGAGGGGGTTGAACTAGATGGTTTCTAAGGACACTTTCAGTTCTAAAACTCTGTGACTATCTATTTAAAAAAAAAAAAAAAAACTTGAGACCAACATTTTCTTTAGAGGACTCATTAATTTAAAGTTTGTACTTTAAATGAAATAAAAGATGAATAAGACATGAGGTTTCTGCTCAAGGACCTTAAAATTTAATAAGGGAGGTAAAAATGTATACAAATAACTAATACAAAGTAAAGTGATTTTTTTTTTTAATACAGGAGAAGAAAGTGCTACAGGAGTTCAGGAAAGGAAGATCACTTCTGACCATAGGGATCAGGGCAGCAATATCAGAAGTCAAAAAGCACTTATTTTCCAGGCACTGTGCTAACCACCAGGAATTTTAAAAAAAAAAAGGCAAAAAAAAGTCCCTGCTCTCAAAAAGCTCATAGTCTAATGGGGAGAAAACCAGCAAACAACTAAGCACAAACAAGATACAGATGGGATAAGCTGTTGATAATCAACAGATTATCTGCAAAGGCAATTGATTGTGCAGAGGACAGAGGACCGGGTCTAGAGTCAGGAAGAACTGTGTTCTAATCTAGCTTCATATACTTATTGGCTGTGTGACTTTGGGCAAGTGACTTAACCTCTGTTTGCCTCAATTCCCTCAACTGTAAAACGGAGATTATAATAGCACTGGGTGGTTGTGAAGATCAAATGAAATAATATTTGTTTTTTAAAAAGCTGACCACAGTTCCTGGCACAGAGTTGGCCCTATTTAAACGTATATTCCCTCCTCTCCACTCCCAGGTCCCCCACCCCAGTCAACAGAGAGAATATACTAAGATTAAAAAGCCTTCTTATATAAGATGGGATTTTAGCTGAGGGTAGAGGGTAAAGAATTGGAGGCATAGGGAAAGAATAAGTAAAAATGAAGGGCGGAGGTAGTGATGGGGCGGAGTGTCATGAGATAGAGAGTTTCACTGTTTTGCAGAGGAGCAACCAGGAGACCAGTGTCTCTGGATCAAAGAGTACATGGTATTAAGGTGTAAGCCCAATGGGAGCAGCAGGGGCCCAGGTTATGAAGGGCTTTGAACACCAAAAAGAGGATTTTATATTTGATCCTGAAGGTGACAGTGAGCCACTGGAGTTCATTCAGTGGAAGACAGGTTATCTGAACTGAGAATTGATGTATAGGACTTCAACAGGTGAGGAAATTGTCATGAGCAAAGCCATGGAAGTTAGAAAATGCAGGGGACATGCACAGGAGAATGATATGTAGTCCGGTCTGAACGCAAGAAAGTGGTGTGCTTGCTACAAGGCTGGGACATTTTTTACAAATCCTCAAAAAGTCCATTCGATTGACCTTTGTTAAACAGCTGAATTTGTCCAGCTGAAGGTGGAAATGACAGCTTGCCAGAAGCCAGGGCTACTAAAATATACACAATATAAAAATTGAGCTTCTAAAAACTACAAATCCCAAGATGCAGTATTCTATAACTAGCAAAACAACATGATAGAGAAGTATACTTTCTTCATGTAATAACTGTAAGCACTTTACAAACTTCAAAGAACTTTATATAGACATTAATAATCTTCCCTGCACCTCATAAAGTCCATACTATTATAACCTCATCTTACAGGTGGCAAAGGAATGCAAAAAGGTTAATTTCATTATCTGATCTAGGTTACAGAAAAAGGCTGTTATCAGGAAGGAACTGGCTCCCACAGATGTTCCTTGAATCCTTAAGGAGTCTAGTCCCCAAACAATGTCCAGGAGCTAAACACCCAGGTTTTATGATCAGCTTTGTTTCAAAGAAAAAATGTATTAAGAATAGCAGTGAGTACTGACCTCTGAATCTGGTTCTTCAGATCCCCTGAGTTTCAGGATTTGCCAAAAGGGACATTCCCCTGAAGACTGGTAGGTCTGTTGCTAGAAACAGAAAGCTTTTCAGTTAAAGATGTAGTTTTAAAAAGAAAAAAAACATAAAACGAGGAAAGCAAGAGAGATTTAGAAAGCTATATTCTAGAAAGATCAATTGCTAATCCCCAGAAAGCACCACAAGGAGGTTGCCTGTCAGAGTTGAGCCATCAAAACTTATTCCCCACCAAACAACTCTCCCTAGAATTAAGGCATCCCTCAATATAAATTATTTCCTTTGGACCATATATGTGGGAATACCACTTATGTCCTATCATAGATCACTTATTCTTTTAAACTGTGTCAAAGACCTTCATACCAATTCAGGATTAGACAATGGATATGCCACTCATAAAAAAAAAAAAAAAAAAAACAGCTAACCATAAAAAAGAGTATCTACATCAGCATCACAGTTATTACCTAGCAAATTAATTCACAGCATGTCTACAGTCCAAAACTTCCTCCCCCTCTTTTCTCATTTTTCTGTTTGTATTTGTTTCTGATTCAGTTATCACTAAAATACACATTTTAATTGTATTGTGCAAGATTCAAACTTCCATTGCTTTGAACATTCAGGTAAACATTTTCACACAACTTACCTACAGCAATGCCACAAATCCTTGCTGGAAATGGTGTTTGCATCTGACAATCCCTCAGTATGTAGAATTTTTCAAAACTTATAAATGACTTCCCATTGCAAACCTTCCCACTAAAAGAACTAAGATGAAGTACATCTTTTCTCCTCTGTATTCTCCTCGCATTTTCTCCTCTGTTTCAGCTTTCTAAATCTCTCTCCTCTCTGTGCTACCAAACAGCATACAAACCCAGCAGTAATCCTCAGTAATCATAATCTTGCCACTGGTTTCTCTTTTCACCTTTTCACAGTCAATGACACCCAAGCACTAAGATTAACTCCTGTCTCTCCCTCCCTCTCCCAAATATATAACCCATTTTTCTAATCCGTCCTTTGGCTTTCTCTCTAACTACCTTGTCCCATTCAAAAACCTTGCCCTCACCTTCAAAGCTCTTTAGTAGGATTCCCAACATGCCTCTCTCATAATTTCATTCCAGGTCTTTATTGCCTCTGGGATCCTCTTTTTAGTATGATGTTGGTCCTGTTCCTTAGGACTCCATTTATTCTCCCCTTCATCTCAGTCTCTCCTTTTCTATAGTTGTCAAGTTCAGACAGCTATCTTCACCTTTTTTCTCCATCAAATTCCCTTTCAAGTCTTACTTGCCTTCTGAGTATCTCCTGTGGCACCACACAAGTAAGAATAACATTTGTGACTGAACCCCAAATCAGAGGGCAAAAGTTGCTCCCAACAAAAAGGAAAGCAATCATGTCTGATTGGGTTAATTATATTGATCTGTTAACCCCGCCCTGATTAAAAAAAAAACAAAAACCTTTGTTCTGTGCCCAGAGATTGCATCCTTAATCTCAGTCAGCCGTCTTGAAACTGTGTGACTTCTGGTTAGAGGGGGACAAGGTAAAAAAGCATGGGGATGATTCAGTGCCAGTTAAAACATGACTCTGAATCAGTGGGTCAGTAGCACTAGTTTCATAATGAAAAGACTCAATATTTAAACTATTCCATAGCCTAAAATTACTTCAGAGTCACTGACCTAAATGTAGCACTTAATGCACTGAGCAGCATTGATAAACTGAAAACTACAATATTAAATATGCCAAAACAGGATAGAAAGATACTAACAACACTCTTATATTGGTTCACCAGCCTGATGTCAATAAAGAGGAAAGCAAGAAAATATATCCAATGGTGGCCTCAAAGAATTCATGTGGCTTCCAAAAATGCCTCAGATATTGTCAACAATTATCTTGATGTCACTGCATCCCCATTCTAACTTTCCCTAGGCTACAGGAGCAGTCAACTAATTTTGTGATGTTTTTAGTTCAGAAAATGCTGTCTCAGTAGAATAATTTATTCATATACAGTAACTGCTCCATTATCCATGCTCATGGAAGGGAGCAGTACGCACTTTGAGAAACTACACAAGGTAAGATATGCAGATTCTCAGGGTTTTTGTAGGTGGCATGTACAAGTAGGATAACTACCTCAGATTATAGCCAACAATGGCACAGGCTGAGCAGAGAATGGGTAAAGGACTTCAGGGCTCAAAGTTGACTGATTGCATAGGGGGCCAGACTCAGTTTGTGGCCTGTAAAAAAGGGTAAAGAGATCATACTGCTGAAGAAGTTTGGACTAGGGGATATTACATAAGAGTTTAGTTTAGGTCAAGGTTGGGGTACCTCCAGCCTTGAGGCCACATGTGGCCTTCTAGGTCCTCGGGTGTGACCCTTTGACTGAATCTAAGTTTTACAGAACAAATCCTTTTATTAAGGGGATTTGTTCTGTGAAGTTTGGATTCAGTTAAAGAGCCACATGTGAGGACCTAGAAGGCCACATGTGGTCTCGAGGCCTCAGGTTCCCCACCCCTGGTTTAGGTCTTTTCCCCCATTATAAAAATAGCTACTTAAACCTCCTCTACCTCATACCTTTCCCCAAGGACCAGGATGATAATTATTTGTTTTGATTTAAAATGCCTTTCTTTTCACTTCCCGCTGTGCTCAAAGTAACTTCATGCAGGGCATAGAATACACAGAGATGCTGGAGAATGAGGCACAGAAGTACGTAATAAGATTTGCTTGTGATAAACCCCCAGTAAACACCGTATTTGTCATTTATACAAGTAGTTTAGTTAAGTTCCAATCATATGTGTGTGTATATATATATATCATTATGCATACAGTAAACATATTTTCATGGAAGCTAAATATAACAGAAAAGTCAGATATTTTACTCTTGTGATACCCTTTAGTATATCCTGGCATATCCCAAGCTGAAAAGACTTAGAGAACACTTTAATCTGTATATAGCCTTTTTGTACATAGCTGTTTGTGTTATTCTTAAGAACAAACTCCAAAATCTGAAATGGTTTTAGAACATTTGCATGTTGTCTTCCCCCATTAGACTGTGAGATCCTTGAGACGATGGACTGTCTTTTGCCATCCTTTGTATCCACAGCACTTAGTAGAGTGCCTGGAACACAGTAGGCACTTAATAAGTGTTTACTGAATGACTTAATGTTGAATGATTGAGATATAGTTATGGCCTATATGCCTGTTGTCCATGAAACGGTCTAAATTCAGAAAGGCTCATCACCAGGATGACTGACATGAGATGAATTTTTTGGCTAGAGCAGATCTCAAATACCAGCTACAAAGGTTTGTACCTGTGTACTTAGTACAGATCTTAGCAGAAAGAGGAGGAAGAAGAGGAGTACGAGAAACCTTTCAGCAGAAGAATGAACAAAAGGTACAATGACAGTCTCTTCCTCTGCTTACTGTTTTTTTCACAACATTGTTATTTAATTTTTTTAATTTTTAAAATTTTTTTATATTTATTATTTGTTATTGTTATTCACAACATTGAAACTGGGCAAACCTGCAGTGAGTTGAAATTGATAGATAATTTTACAAAATGAATCAGATGAATTTTTCAAAGGGTTGAATGCTAACATACATCCTAGGGCTAAATGAATCCAGAAGTCAACTGTCTTCTAGCATGAAACTACCTTGGGCAATTTAAACAGGGGAAAAAATACATCTGCTCAGTAAACATGCAACATTACACTTTTTTAAATTACCTGTATTTTAAGATTCCAAATCACCACCTATCACCCCAATGGCAAGGTGAGGAATAAGAGTGTCCGCTTTGTAGATCTTAAACAGGAGTATGCTAATAAATGCTTAACAATGAAGTCTCCAGAAAAAAATGCATACATTATACTTTTAAGTTTAATTTGAATTATGAATATTTTCTCCATCACTTTGTCTAGACAATCAACAAAACACTAAATCAAGCCCTGATTTGAAGCATTTGACAGTTTCCAAGACATAAATGCTCACAATGAAAATTTAACAATTGGCTTTTAGGAACCAGTTTGAGCTGGCTCCAGCACATCTCTGATATAAATCATAATACTTACATTAACCTCAATCATCAAACAACATGATGTATGAGAAAGTACTTTGTAAAGTATAAACTGTTCCATAGATCCATGGTATTATAATTATATTCACACTTAACCATAGTTTAAATATTTTTTAATCCCTGGTCATATTTTATTTCTATAATAAAAAAGTAGGGGGGGAAATGTGGGGGTGTGGAAGGGTATATTTTCAAAGGTAAATCCTAGCTCATTCTAAAACAATTTCATTTTATAGCTATTTAATGAAGTCTATTAACTTCTGGCAAGCCCTGGAGTCAAAAAGACTTGGAAAGTCATACCTGTGATACATACTAGCAGGGTGATCATGGCTAACCTTTTAGGGCCCCCAGGCAACTCTCTAAGAAGGAAGGGAAAGAAATAAGTATTTACATAGCACCTACCTCCCAGGGTTGTTGTGAAGATCAAATGAGGTGATATTTGTAAATTGTTTATTAGCACAGTATCTGGGACATAGTAGGTGCTAGTATTTTCCCCTTTTATAGTCAAGGAAACTGAGGCAAACAGAAGTTAAGTGTTTTGTCCAGGATTACAAAGCTATTAAATATCTAAGGCTGCATCTGAATTCAGGACTTCCCGACTCCAGGCCTAGCACTCTATCCATTGTACCACCAGATGCTTCTTATGAGAATAAGTTACAGAAGAATTGAGGATCTGCATCAGATATACAGGTTCTTTTTACTCATTTTGCTTATATCTACACAAACAACAGCATCAACAATGGTGGGCTCCATGACTATGAAACAACATTCTCAAATGAACCAGTTTATGCACTACACATATCTGGCAACTCTACCAACTTGATATTATTCTTGCTTTAACTAAAAAGTAAAGGACTTCAGTCACATTAAGACATCAAACTAGTCTGACCATTTTTTCTTCAGACCTAGGCTCCCAAACTTGTTCCCAGATTAGCTAGTGACTGGAAATGATGAATAGGTGAGGTAATGCATAAACAGAATTGGTGGCCATGTAAATA